ATAGTAGAAGCAGCAGTTTGTATTTAGACAAACAAATAACGGAGACAGCAGCAAGCTACGCTGCTGCAGCACGTTGCGGTGGTTTCATAGTTGCTGCTGCGCCTCTCTTCCTCAGCAGCGCTCCTCTTCTTGCTGCTGCTTCTTCTCTCTCCCTATCTGCTGCTGCTAGCTGCTGCTGCAGCTCAGCTGTCAACGGCTTTATGCCGCAGCAACCGGGGGCCCAGCTATCCTGGGCCCCTGGGCTAGGCATTGGCGGTATATCCCACAACAGGGGCCCCTGGGGCCCCCCCTGGGGGGCCCCCTGAAGGCTCCCTTGGGGGGCCCCTGATAGGGGGGCCCCATGGGGGCCCCCTGGTGGGGGGGCCCCTGGGGGGCCCCCCTGGAGGGCGCCTGGTGGGGGCCCCCCTTGGGGGGCCCCCTGCGGGTTCGCTGGTGGGGAGCATTCTTGGAGAGCGTCCAGCAGGGCCCCCTGGGGGCCCCCCTGGGGGCCCCCTAGAAAGGAGACTCGTTGGGGGGCCCCAGCTGGTGAAGAGAGCTGGGGGGCCCCCTGGGGGGCCCCCTGGGGGCCCCCTTGAGGGGCCCCCTGGGGTGTTTGGTTGTTGGCAGTGGGTTCACCTTGGTCTATGGTGATGTGACAAAGGCGTAGGATATCTAAGAGAGATTGTGTTGCTGCTGCAGCAGCAAAAGCGAAGCAGTGTCTGTCTGCTGCTCTTTTGTTATGGAGTGCTGCTCCTGCTGCAACAAGAATATCTATAACTGCTGCTGCTGCTGCTTCAGCAGGGGTCTGGTCCTCCTCTCCCCCTTCATGTTTTCTTCCCTTGGGAGATATACCTGGGGGCCCCCCACGGGGGCCCCTTTGTTTTGCTGCTGCTGCTGTTGCTGCTGCAGCAGCAGCCTTCGCTGATGTAGGGGGAGACATAACGAAACTTTTTTTCTCTGTACTTAACCTATAAAAACGTGCATGCAAGTATTTAGTCCTGCTGCTGCTGCTGCTGTTGCTGCTGCTGCTGCTGCTGGTGTGTGTGTTGTTGTTCTGTTGCTGCTGCTCTATGCTGCTTGTCTTCTGTTAATTGGGGCTTTGCATGCGTGTATAAACAAAAAAATAAAGTGAAATAAACTGCTGCTGCTGCGCTCTCTATTCTTCTTTTCTATGGCTATATGGTGGTTTGCTTGGGGGGGCCCCTCCGTATACACCGCAGCAGGGGCCCCCCCCTCGATTCATAGTAGATAAAGTGAAATACAATTAAAATAAATATAAAAAATACAATTA